AACACGGCCCCTGAGCCTGCCCGTCACCCCAGCCACAAGGAACACGGCCCCTGAGCCTGCCCGTCACCGCGGCCACCACAAACACGGCCCCTGAGCCTGCCTGTCACCCCGGTCATTACGAACACGGCCCCTGAGCCTGTCCTTCACCACGGCTGCCACGACAAACACGGCTGTGAGCCTGCCCGTCACCCCGTGCCAGTCCATCTCTCTGGGCACTGCATATGGTGCTGGTGAGGCAGTGAAGGGAAGGGGTCACTCGTCTTTCCTCCCCATTACTGTAATGCAGGGGGCCAGGCTGTCATGGAAACCCACTTCTCTACCGGAGTGGCGTCACAGCAGCCACCTGACTGCAGCACTATTTCCAGCTTCCCTCCGATTTCTGATTTGGGACCTCCCAGTGCTTCCCCCTGTCCATGTTCTTCCCTGCTGGTGGTATCAAAATTCTGCAGTGCGCCATTAGGCACCCAGCACCCTTCACAAGACCTCCCCTAGGACCACCACATTTTGCCAAAACTTGTGCAGCCTCCATTTGAGCCTTCTCCAAGTTCTCTACTCACTGTATTATGATTCAAACGGTCCTTTTGGCAGCCATCCTCAAGCAAGAGCCAGTCACAAGTCCTCTTGCTGAAGCATCTTCACAAAGGGGCAAAGGACACTCATCCTCAGGGCAGGGACAGAGCAGTTTGTGTCAGGACATGGGCAAGCCAGAGCTCCTCTGGAGACCACAGCCCACTGCCTGGGCAGGAAATTTCCCTCCTCAGAGCCAGGCTTTGCTCCACATTGACAGGATTGACTCAGCCTCTCAGACCTTTACTGTCTCTGAGGCAATAAACAGTAAAAACAGGACATTTCAACACATTGATGGCCTAATTCAGCACCATGCTGTGCAAAGCACTTCCCTTGCTTTCCCATTAAAGCCCAGCTCTTCTAGGATTCAAATATTTTGGATGGGTCTCAGTGTCTGAAATCTGGAGGCCTTGTCATGACCTGCCTCTGCTAAGGTAGCAGCACATGGAGCTAAAGTGACATTACGTGGGCTGTATTGGTTTTGCTATGTTACTCAGAAACAACTGGTAGAGGATGGTAGAACGAAGCCACCAAAGAGCAGACCATGAATCTCTTACACTTTCTGCAGGTCCCATGGTGCTTTGGAGACCTAATGTGAAGCTTGTCCATGCTGGCCATGGTGAAATGAGGACATAATCTGCCTTCTTGTTCATTGCAGGAACCCAACCACCTTATCTCAGAATCATTCCCCAAATCCAAGGCTCTTTCCCAGCTACCTGTCAGGCCATTTTATGAACAATGGGGCTTGATGGACCTTAAAATTCCCAGCAACATCAGAGTCTGGCATCAAAGATAGCAATACAAAAAAGCTGCTGCTGCTCCTCCTCTTGCTGTTTTACATCATCAGACTACAGCTACTTCCTGGCATTACCCACAGCTTCTTGCCAACCATTATGAAAGAGTCTCTCATTTCAGAGGAGGGGGATTCTGCTGCTGGTGGGAGAGATTCATTTTCCACAAGTACTTGTGCTTGGATGCCTCTGGTGGTCCTTAGGACAGAGATGAGCATGTAGAAAGTGTCCGCTGATGGAAAATGGTAAGTAGTAATTGTACCTGGGCCACTTATACTTGGGCTGCGTTGTGTCTGGGGACAAGACATAGGGAGCAAAACAGTGTCTTCCACTAGCGCTTGGAAAGCTAGAGGGTTTCTTTGGTTTTTATCATGACAACGTGCTAGATCCTAGCTACTCCTCAGCGAGTAGCTTCCCTCTTTAGATAAGAACTTTTGTCCCCACTGGTGCTTCTTGAAACTCCAGCTAATCTGAAGTAGCTGCTGAGTGCCAGACAGAAACT